CTCAATAAAAAAAAAAAAAAAAGGAAGAAAGAAAGAAAAACAAATGAAAACACATAGTATGTTAAATGTGATAGGGTGATAGATATCGATATGAAAAATACAGTTATGTCAAATGTAATGGAGAAAACTGAAGCAGGGAAGGAGTACAGAGAATGCCAAGGTGCGTGTGTCTTTGTGAGTGTGCAGGAGAGAAAGGCTTTACACAGGTGTCCAGAGGAGGCCTCATTCCCAGAGGAGATCTGAGTCAGACCTGAAGGAGTTGAGGGGACAGGCCCTGCAGATGTCTGGAAGGAAGTGCAGGCAGAGGCCCTGAGACGTGAATATATGTGGGAGACTCCCAGGCCAGAAACAGTCCAGAGGCCAGGGGGTCCACGGGGAGTGGTGTAGGGGAATTAAAGGCTGGGCTGTAGATGGTTCCAGCTTCCAGACATCAGTCATGGCATGGTTAAGCTAGGGATGTCTGCAGTCATGCAGAAAAGCTGCTTCTTTTTTTTTTTGAGATGGAGTTTCACTCTTGTCACCCAGGCTGGAGTGCAATGGCGCAGTCTCGGCTCACTGCAACCTCCGCCTCCTGGGTTCAAGTGATTCTCCTGCCTCAGGCTCCCAAGTAGCTGGGATTACAATTGCCCACCACTATGCCCAGCTAATTGTTGTATTTTTAGTAGAGATGGGGTCTCACCATATTGGCCAGGTTGATCTCAAACTCCTGATCTCAGGTGATCCACCTGCCTTGGCCTCCCACGGTGCTGGAATTACAGGTGTGAGCCATCGCACCCAGACAGAAAAGTTTCTTTACAAAACATTTCCAATCTCCTTTCACTCCTTGGATACAAATTTCATGTTTAACTTATTTTATTTTATTTATTTCTTTTAGATGAAGTCTCGCTCTGTCACCAGGCTGGAGTGCAGTGGCATGATCTCAGCTCACTGCAACCTCCGCTTCTCAGGTTCAAATGATTCTCCTGCTTCAGCCTCCCAAGTAGCTGGGACTACAGGTGTGCTCCACCATGCCCAGCTAATTAACTTTTTTTTTTTTTTCAAAAGCAAAGTTGGGCCTTAACATAAGGATTAAAAAACAGATTTATTTCATATAACGGTTCTATTTCTGAGAATACATCCAAGAGAACTGACAGCAGATGCTTGAGAGAATGGTACTCAGAGTGCTTTATTCACAACAGCCGGAAGGTGGAAGCAACTCATGTGTCCATCTACTGGTGATGAATGGACAAAGAAAGCGTGGTCTCTACACACCAGGGAGCGTTATTCAGCCTGAAAGAGGAAAGCAATCCTGACCTGCACTACAATTCGGATGAACCTTCTGGCCTTATGCTGAGTGAAATAAATCAGCCAAGAAAGGCAAATACTCATGGATTCCACTTACGTGAGGTACCTATAATAGCCAAATACGTGAGGACAGAAAGAATGGTGGCTGCCAGGGCCTGGCGAAGTGGAAAGTGGGGAGTCACTGTTGAAGAGCTTCATCTGTGCAAGATGAAGTGTTCCCTGAGTGGATGGTGGTGACGGAAGCCCAGTGGGATTGACGTACCGAATGCCACTCATCCCTGCACTTCGAATGCTAAAGGTGCTACATTCTATGTTATGTGTATTTTACCGCAATTGCAAAAAATAAAAATTAATAAGTTTTGGCCAGGCATGGTAGCTCACACCTGTAATCTCAGCACTTTAGGAGGCTGAGGTGGGCGGATCACTTGAGATCAGGAGTTTGAGACTAGTCTGGCCAACATGGTAAAACTCTGTCTCTACTAAAAATACAAAAATTAGCTGGGTGTGGTGGCGGGCACCTGTAATCCCAGCTACTGGAAAGCTGAGGCATGAGAATCACTTGAACCTGGGAGGCAGAGGTTGCAGTCAGGCAGAGATCACACCACTGCACTCCAGCCTGGGTGACAGACACAATGAGACTCCATCTCAAGCAAAACAAGACAAATGTATCTCTTATTCCCATGGAACAAACATACAAATATCCATTTTGGTTATTTTATATTTTAGAAAATAACACCAAAAGCAATGACAACATCTTGTAGCTTCTAAAACGGCTTTGAGAGTTGCAGAACATTTAGGAGCGCGGCTAACAGGAAGTAGAGTTTGACTAAACAGAAGAAAAGGAAATTATCATTTCCCTGCTTGTCTTCAGCACTGTTTATGGAAAAATATTCTGACCTCTTAGATGTTCTGACTTTGGGACCCTCCTCCCAGGCAGGCCAGAAACCCTCAGGGCTGACATCTTTACTTTTTATTTCCAGGGAGCATCGGAAAGTCAGCGTGTGAAAAAGAATTTTTAGTTAAAGATGGCAGGGAAAGAAATAGACGCTCTGTTTTATTCAACTTCTGGGCAGGGAGGGTTTCACACACTTGAAGTTCAGCAACTTTTCCCAGTTTATAAGCCAAGAGCCTAATTAAGTTTCTTAAGGTTTCTACCTCTTCCCCAAATTACTTCCTCTAGCATAAAGATCTTCTATGGACCGAATAAACTTCAAGAAATAGTTATGGGGGGTGGGCAGAGGCTCACGCTTGTAATCCCAGCACTTTGGGAGGCTAAGGCGGGTGGATAATCTGAGGTCGGGAGTTCGAGACCAACCTGACCAACATGGAGAAATCCCATCTCTACTAAAAATACAAAATTAGCTAGTGTGATGGTGCATGCCTGTAATACCACCTAACTCAGGAGGCTGAGGCAGGAGAATTGCTTGAACCTGGGGTGGGAGGGGGCAGAGGTTTCAGTGAGCAGAGATCACGCCATTGCACTCCAGTCTGGGCAAAAAGAGTAAAACTCCATCTCAAAAAATAAATAAATAGATAAATAAAAAGAAATAGTTAAAAACACTTGGTAACACAAAAGGTCTTTGAATTCCCAACTACCTCAATGGTAATTTATTTCGTTCACTGAACATTTTTACGGCTACATCCAATCAAACTTTTTCATTGTATTGCCACCAGCTACCTAGCAGACACCCATTTTAAAACACCCACACCTAGCCAGGCATAGTAGTGCACATCTGTAGTCCTAGCTACTTGGGAGGCGAAGGTGGGAGGATCACTTGAACCTGGAAGGTCGAGGCTGCAGTGAGCTGTGATCATGCCACTACATTCCAGCCTGGGCAATAGAGCAAGACTCTGTCTCAAAAAACAAACATAATGGAAACACCCCTTCCACACCTGGTTGCCCAGTGCGCTTTCATTTTTTCTTTTTTAAAAATTATATATATATATATATATATATATATATAATATTTGAGAAAAATAAGAGTATCTTTTCTTTTTAAAAAATTATATATATAATATATGAGAAAAATAACAGCGTCTCACTTTGTGGCCCAGGCTAGTCTGCAGTGGCGCGATCATGGCTTACTGCAGCCTCGACTTCCCCAAGCTCAGGTAATCCTCCCACCTCAGCCTCCTGAGTAGCTGGGACCACAGGCATGCTCCACCACGCCGGACTAATTTTTGTATTTTTGTAGAGACCGGTTTCACAATGTCGGCCAGGCTCTGGTCTGGAACTCCTGATCTCAAGTGATCCGTCTGTCTCCGCTTCCCAAAGTGCGCGGATTACAGGCGTGAGCCACCGCGCCTTGCCCTGTGTGCTTCAGAACCGCTTTCTGCATTGGTAGATCAAATCTGGTATCTTGTTGTTGCAACGTGGCCCGTTACTGTTCTTTGCCTCCTTCTAGCCATCTCCCATTAATTCCCCCTCTTAAATGTTTACCTTTAATTAGATTTCATTATTGTTATTGAGCTCTTTTTTAAAAATGTGAAAACACTTTAATTCCTGAAGTTCTTCAATTTTTTAACATCCATCACGGTTATTTAAATTATAAAGTAACTACCCCTGCGGGTCCAGGCCCGCGGCCCTCCAGCGCCTTCCGTGTTCTGTCGCAGTGCACTACGCGTGAAACTGCTTTCCTCCCACCCTGGCTGAGCGCTAGTGACGGTGGCAGCGGCGCTCCAGCGACTCTTGCAGCTCAGGCTCTCCCTGGGAAGTGTCCCCAGGGTCGGGCAAGGTCGCTCCCGCCGGTAGGGAGGCGGTTTTTAAGCCTGGCTGGGGCTAACGGGAAGGAGAAGCCCACCGCTCCCGGCTTAATTAAAAACCGGCATTCTTTCCAAGGCCACCATCGATGGGAAGTGTGCGCTCAAAGTACTCCTCTTGCTCGGTCCCCTCCCTGGCCTTCCGTCGCCTGGAAGCGTCGCCGAGTCCCACTCCACGCGCTTCGCCTAGGGTTCGAGCCCTGGCGTCGGGGCGTCGGGCCGCCGGCTGACCAGAACCGCAGGCAGGGTCGGTCCACGCAGGTCGGAGGATGAGATAGATGTCCCCCAAAGGCGGTGGACGCAATCTTTTCCGGAAACCCAGGGACCCCTGTGCTCGCGCAGGACCAAAGCCCGAGGCCAAGGGGGAACCACAGAGGGACAGAGAAGCCGGGACTCCTCAACATCCCGCCTCCGTCGGGGGAGGCCCAGTGGGTGATCGCGGGTGTCCCAAGTCCCGGAGGGAGAGCGCCCGACGGAAACGCCCCTCGCCCTTCGGGCCTCGCTTTCCTCTCCCGGCTTCCAGGGTCACTTCACGCGCTCTCGAGGCGGAGCTGGCGGCTCCAGCCCCCGGTGCCTCCCTCCTCTGGTCGCTCCTTCCCTGGTGCCCCTTCCCAGGCTTTTCTTTGTCCGGTCCGCACCCCTGCCTGGGCCTGCCGGACTCCCCTCCTTGACACTCGGGCCCCTTCCTCGAGCTTTTCTCGTCTCCTCCCCAACCCGGCTCCCTGGTCCCCTCTTGGAACTTCACTGGTCTCCTCCGCTCCTCCGACCCGGGCTTTCCCCCCACACCCAGCCGCCCCTCCGCAGCGCTCCCGGAGTTCCCTGGGTCCTGCCCCCTCCCCGCAGTTTCCCGCGCCGCCCCGCCCCGCCCCGCCCTCCTTTTTAAACCTGGCGGGCGGGTAGGCTGGCGCGCACCGAGGCAGGCGCCGCAGCAGGGGCGCGGGCTCCGCTGGCACCAAATGGAGCCCAAGGCGGCGGCTGGAGCCCGGGAGACGCGGGGGCGCGTCTGTCACTGCCCAGGGGACGATCCCCAGAGGCCTCCGCCACAGCGCGTTCCGGAGAGGTGAGGGTGGCCCCGCGCTCCGGTGGACGCACGGAGAGGCGCGCAGGGTAGCGGTGCGGGGAGCGCGGCCAGCGGGTGGCTGGGACGCCGCTCAGCCCCCGAGTCCCCGCGGAGCTCGCGAGCTCGACGGCGACGCCGAGCAAGCTCCGGAGCCGCAGCCCGGTTCCCGGGAGGAGCGCTCAGTTCTCCCGGTGCCAGCGCATAGCTCTGAAGTGCAGGAGCCCAGGAGGTACCCGGCCAGGAAAAGGGCAGACGCTTCCGAGTAGAGGAGATCTCAATTCGCCGGCCGAGGACACCGAAGTCTCGGGTTCCGGAGCCAGCCTTGCAAAGGGAGTCTCTCACTTTGCCACTTTCTCGGGAGCCGTTTTTGTTGTCCCTGTATTGAGGGCTCAGTGTTCGCTGTCCCTGGGCACCTGCACTTTTAAAGACAGTAAGGTTGAAGGAAATCAAATTAGCCGGGGAGGTAGGGAAGGGAGCAGGTGGGCCGGGTGGGCTAGGTAGCCAGGCAGGAGAAAGATTCTCTTTCTCTCTCTCTCTCTCTCTCTCTCTCTCTCTCTCTCTCTCTCTCTCTCTCTCTTTCTCTCTCTATCTCGACAGAGTCTCACTCTGTGGCCCAGGCTGGAGAACAGTGGCCCGACCTTGGCCTCCCGAGTTCAAGCGATTCTCCTGTTTCAGCTTCCCGAGTAGCTGGGATTACAGGATCCTGTCACCAGGCCTGGCTAATTTTTGTATTTTTAGTAGAGACGAGGTTTCGCCACGTTGGTCAGGGCTGGTCCCGAACTCCTGACCTCAATTGATCCACCTGCCTCGGCCTCCCAAAGTGCTGGGATTACAGGCGTGAGCCACTGTGCCTGGCCGTCTTTTTTGTTTTTTCATCCTAGAACTCTATAAAATCATCTCTGTAGTAGAATCAAGATCCTTCAGTGGCTGAGGTGGCGTGATTGAAATTAAAGACAAGTAGCCGGCTGTAGTTCAATTCGGGAACCCCGAATTGAAGAATCAGCCACGATTTGCAGGGAGAGAAATCTCTCAACTGATGGGTTCTCAGATAATTGTGTGAGATTCAGGACCTCGCTTCTCAAAGCTTAACTGGAAGCAGAGAACTGGGGACGTAGCAGGCGAGAAAAAACACAAATGACAGTAATTTATCTACACCCCTGATAACTCCAGGGGAAGTTCCTGGCGGGGAGGGGGGGGCGGATCTGGTGTCTCTTTTTCAGGCAGGCACTGGAAAAAAGAATAACTCTCGTGACCTAGTTTGAAGGCAGCAGGGTGCCCAGGGTTCACTCTCTCCTGGCCCTTGCCGTTCCAGCCCCGAGCTGTGGCGACCTTGGATCCAGACACCTGAAGATGATGAACTGACCAGAATGGAAAGCCGGGTAAGGTTCAGCGCGGGCACTGTAGGCAATCGGTCCAGCCAGAAAGTGGCACTGTCTTTTAAAATAAAGAGACCGTGAAAGGTCTCTTGCGCAGGGCTCTACCTTGGGCGTCTAACCCAAGAGCGCCTCAGGGTCTGGGACCTGGAATCTGAATGAGTAAGCTGTTAATTACACCTGAGTCTCATTACAGATTGGGCTTCTGGTGGCTTCTCCTTTCTAAAAAAAAAAGCAAACCCACTACAAAAGCATAGTCGTAGGCGGCGCGGTGACTCAGGCCCGTAATCTCAGCACTTTGGGAGGCCAAGGCGGGCAAAGCATCTGAGGTCAGGAGTTTGTGACCAACCTGGCCAACATAGCGAAATCTCGTCTCTACTAAAAATACAAAAATTAGCTGGGCATGATGGTGCATGCCTGTAATCCCAGCTACTTGGGAAACCGAGGCAGGAGACTCGCTTGAACCCAGGAGGTGGTGGTTGCCGTGAGCCGAGATCTCGCCATTGCACTCCAGCCTGGGTAACAAGAGTGACTCTCTCTCTCTCTCTCTCTCTCTCTCTCTCTCTCTCTCTCTCTCACACACACACACACACACACACACACACAAAACAACAACAACAAAGTCATAGTCGTTTCATGGGAATTATAAGGGTGGTCCTGCGTGTTGGGGCTACAGGTCGGGAGGGGAGGGGAGAAGACTCCACTGTCCCTTGCCTTAGAGAAAAGCCGAGAGCACCATTAGCGTTTGCCCGGTGCCACAGAGCAAATAGGGCCAGCCCCATCTGAGGTGCCCAGAGGTGCAGTTAAAAGCCCCCACCCAGCGTCTGGCCCTTTCTGAAGCACTTTCAGCCCCGTCAAGCACTCCTGGGGTAACTCATGTTGTCTGAGCAAACACACTCAAAGTGAGGGCTTTGTGGGCGAGATTAATTGCCAGGAACATTCTTTTGTTACTCTGCATTGCTAACTCAATTGCTTTATACTTACTGATGTCATGACTTGCTTTCATAGAATTTACCTTTCCTTTGTTATATTTTAAAACATAAATTGATGACTTTTATTTTATTTATTTTCTTGATGACTCTTGAAACACTGAAGAATTAGGCTGGGAAAGACACTGTATTTAATTTACATACCACGTGTTATATGGCCGAAAGTGCAGGTATTTGTAATATGGTAAGAAAACTCGAGTATGGGAAAACAGGCCTTCACCACATTTTGATATTTAGACGATTTCATTAAATTAATCTGAATATTAGGAATTTTAATTTACTTCAAAGAAGGAAGCAGATAAAAATATAAATCAGTTAACAAAAGATATGATTTTCAGTCCCCAATTTTTTATACGTATAATATCTAAATAATGTAAAATAATCCCTTCTTTCCATTCCATGTGGTTCGGGGGGAAAAGAAAAAATAAAATAATCCCTTCTTTCGTATTCACACTTAGTTCTTAAACATAAAACTTAAAGGTGCTTTGGCCGGACGCGGTGGTTCAAGCCTGTAATCCCAGCACTTTGGGAGACCGAGGCGGGTGGATCACGAGGTCGAGAGATCGAGACCATCCTGGTCAACATGGTGAAACCCCGTCTCTACTAAAAATACAAAAAATTAGCTGGGCATGGTGGCACGTGCCTGTAATCCCAGCTACTCAGGAGGCTGAGGCAGGAGAATTGCCTGAACCCAGGAGGCGGAGGTTGCGGTGAGCCGAGATCGCGCCATTGCACTCCAGCCTGGGTAACAAGAGCGAAACTCCGTCTCAAAACAAAACAAAACAAAAACCACTTAAAGGTGCTTGTGTGAGAATATAGATGTTTACAATTACCCAGTTTTCTTTTCAGTGAAATGGATGTGGAGCCTATCAGTTGTCTGCAAGAATAAAAATGCGATAGCACGCTTCCTAAGTAGGACAGATGATTTTTGGTTTTGTTTTCTGTTATGATACGTTCGTTTGTGAGAAAAATTTACTTGCAGAAAAATGTTAAACTTTAGTAACTTTCTTACTGATTGGTAGGCTGTCACGCTGAAGCAGTTTTGTCCATGGATGTGGGTGTGGGGAGAGCGGGTGTTCCCTGGGGACTGTAGAGCCCGCCACGCCCCATCCCCAGCCCGGGACCTGCTCTTTGCTGGGTCCGGCTTGTCGCGCATAGTGGCCAGCGCTGGTCCGCGCTCTGGTACCCGGCGTCGCGCTCGATCCCCGGCAGGCCAGCGACAGAGCAGCCCAGCACGGGGAAGGAACGCTTCTTGCTCAACAGCGCCCTCCCCCGACAAGCAGGAGAATTCCCCAGCTCCCAAGCCCTCTTCTGTATTTCTCAAAAATGCCATTCATTGGCTGGAGTGGGGGTGAGGAGGGCTAAGGCCTGGTGACCTGTACCAGGGCTCCCGGCGAGCAGAGCAAAACTAGAATAAAACCTCAAGTAGGCTGGGCGCGTGGCTCACGCCTGTAATTCCAGAATTTGGGGAGGCTGAGGCGGGGGGGCGGGGGAGAGAGGTCATCTGAGGTCAGGAGTTCGATGTCAGCCTGACCAACATGGTGAAATCCCGTCTCTACTAAAAATACAAAAGTTAGCTGGGCGGTGGTGGGGCACGCCAGTAATCCCAGCTACTTGGGAGGCTCAGACGGCAGGATCGCTTGAACCCAGGAGGCAGAGGTTGCAGTGAGCTGAGATTGGGACACTACATGTCAACCTGGCAACAGAATAAGACCCTGTCTCAAAAAAAAAAAGAAAAAAAAAGAAAAAAAAAAAACCCTCAAGTAAAGGGAAGACAAGGCCCTGTGCTCTGAGCAGCAGGGTCACCCTCACCCATTTGATGCCCCCACCAACCTAGGGGGCGATCTCCCTCCCCTACCTGACCTTTTTTGGTCTTTTTTGTGTTTCTATCCTTGTCACTTTCGGGCATTGCCAGGGATGCAGTTTCCTGGAAAACACTGGACTCCTGACCTCAGATGTAATCCCAGCTACTTGGGAGGGTGAGGCAGGAGAATCACTTGAACCCAGGAGGTGGAGGTTGCAGTGAGCCGAGATTGCGCCATTGTAGTACAGCCTGGGAGAGCAAAATTCTGTCTCAAAACGAAGAGAGAGAGAGAGAGATTGAGACCATCCTGGCCGAAATGGTGAAACCCCATCTCTACTAAAAGTACAAAAAAAATTAGGTGGGCATGATGGTGCCTTGCCTGTAGTTCTCGCTACTTGGGAAGCTGAGGCTGGAGAATCACTTGAACCTGGAAGGTGGAGGTTGCAGTGACCTGAGATCGCAGCACTGCACTCCAACCTGGTGACAGAGTGAGACTTTGTCTCAAAAATAAATAAATACATACATACATATGAGCTGAAATGTTCTGGGGCAGTGCACCAGAAACCCCAAACCCTCGGATTCCAGAATTCAGTTGGAACCAGACAAGGAACAGGACAAAACTTGCTATGGCCTGACAAGGAAGGACTTTAACACCATTAATCTCCACGTCATTCCATCCTTCAAGGACACTGGGGCCAGGGGACGTGCACACGACATTCGTGAGCAAATTAGCCTGTAAGGAGCCTCTGCAGATGCTACATTTTATCAGCCAGATTTTCATAATTCACTGTGTTGAGCTAAGGAAGTGATGAAGCTTTTGGAACAAAATCTTTTCCATGAAGTTGTTCACTCTTTTGGGTTACAGGAAGCTGCTTCTTTCTTAAGCTCTGTTCATAATTATAAAACACTTCTAATTGCCCAGTCTCACTTTATGGCCACAAGCAATCCTGCCCTGCTAATGGCTGTTTGATGCCCTGCGATGGGACAGGGCCTAACTCGGCAGTGGCAGGTGTCAGAGAAAGAATAGCTTCTGTAAATCATCCAGTTCTAACTGGACCCTGTAAAGCATTCAACACACCTTTATCCACTTTCAACACTTTACCCACTAACATATGCAGCATTAAAAGTTTTACACCAGGCCGGGTGCTGTGGCTCACACCTGTAATTACTGGCACCTTGGGAGGCTGAGGCAGGCGGATCACCTGAAGTCAGGAGTTCGAGACCAGCCTGGCCAATGTGGTGAAACCCTGTCTCTACTAAAAACACAAAAATTAACCGAGCATGGTGGCGCATGCTTGTAATCTCAGCTATTTGGGAGGATGAGGCAGGAGAACTGATTGAACCTGGGAGGCAGAGGTTGCAGAGAGCTGAGATTGCACCATTGCACTCCAGCCTGGGCAACAAGAGTGAATCACCACACCTGGCTAATTTAGTATTTTTTAGTAGAAACGGGGTTTCTTCATGTTGGTCAGGCTAGTCTTGAACTCCTGATCTCAGGTGGTCTGCCCACCTTGGCCTCCCAAAGTCCTGGGATTACAGCTGTGAGCCACCGTACCTCGCCTGATCTCTATCTCTTGACCTCGAGATTCGCCCACCTCCCAAAGTGCTGGGATCACCGGTGTGAGCCACCATGCCCAGCCTATTTAAGCTCATTTTTAAGTCATCCCAGGATGGTTTATCCCAGAATGCCCCATGCCCCCACTTACCACAGTAACTAAGCTTACTGAGAGCACATGATGACTTCTGACATTTCAGCCCCTTGGATAACCTGGTTATATTTCAAACTAAGTCCTTTCAGATCCAGCACTGTCAGGATTTTGGGCAGAACAGGACCCACCTTGGATAGGTAGAGTGTGATTGTCCCTCACTTTCCTGGCCACCCTGCTCAGCAGCAGGCATGGAAAAGCCTGGCTCTCTGCTGTGTTGCTGTCATTCGTGGTGTCCTTGGTTGCCTGGTGCTCAGACCAGCTGCCCTTCCTGGCTCTTGCTGCTCCAGCAGTCACAGAACTTCCAGATGCGACTGAAGGGTACTTGGAGTCTGCCTTTCCTTTCTTTTCCCACTGCTGGTTCTTGAGTTCACTTTTTTTTTTCTCTTTGAGACCAAGTCTTGCTCTGTTGCCCAGGTTGGAGTGCAGTGGTGCAAGCTCCGCCTCCCAGGTTTATGCGATTCTCCTGCCTCAGCCTCCCAAGTAGCTGGGATTACTGGCTAATTTTGTATTTTTAGTAGAGATGGGGTTTCACCATATTGGCCAGGCTGATCTAGAACTCCTGACATCAAGTGATCTGCCCACCTGGGCCTTCCCCAGTGCTGGGATTACAGGCATGAGCCATCGCACCCGGCCTCACTTCACATCCTTCCCGCATCCAGAAGCTCTTTATCATCTCTTGCCAAGACTGGTTCCTCCAAGCCCTTTCTATGCCAGCCTTGTCTGCGCATGGCGCCCTATGCCACTGCTCTCCTTGGAATACAGATCTGATCGTTGGATTCCCTGACTCAAAAATCCATATCCAGTTCCTGTATCCAGAGTCAAACCTAAACTCAACAGTGGGTATTCAAGGCAGCTGATGCCGTTTGAGCCCTTTGCTCATCGCAGTGTTTCCCACATCAGGGTCCTCACCGCTCCCCGCCCACGCCCTGTTTTCCTGCCACTCTGATTTTTTTTTTTTTTTTTTGAGACAGAGTGTGTTGCCCAGGCTGGAGTGTAGTGGCGGAATCTTGGCTCACTGCAACCTCTGCTTCCCAGGTTCAAGTGATTCTCGTGCCTCAGCTTCCTGAGTAGCTGGGATTACAGGCATGCGCCATCATGCCCACGCCCAGCTAATTTTTGTATTTTTAGTAGAGATGGGGTTTCACCATGTTTGTCAGGCTGGTCTCAAACTCCCAACCTCAGGTGATCCACCAGCCTTGCTGCTGGTATTACAGGTATGCACCACCGCGCCTGGTCCTGCCACTCTGAACTGGATGCTCTCCTCTACGAAAATAGTCTTAGAATTGCAAACCCACATGCTGCAGATGTCTCTGTGAGGCCCTCCACGAACCTGCTCCTGACCTTCTGTCACACTGAGAATCATGGGCGTCTCACCGTGCGGTGCTTGGTAGCATGGTTATTTGCATACATGTGTGTCTCTGTCCATAAGCCTGTAAAATGCTGGACGGAGGCACTGCGTCTGACTCCTTCCACCTGAATTCTTCACAGCACCTGGGACGTTTTGGGCTGCAGTAACAGGAATAGGCTTATCAAATACTGCTAAGGTGTCTAAACTCTCTAAAGTTGATATTGATATGAACAATTGCAGATTACCTAGGTTCTATGGTTTAAAACCTCAGGATGTCACCTTCCAATGCTCCTGCACTGTCTCTGTGTTTGTATGTGTCTGTCGCTACAGCTTGCAGCTACGGCTGACCAACACGGTTTTGGATCAAAGGGAGCCTTTGGGTTTCAGCATCCTGTAAGGTAATATATGACTTCACAGTAAGTAATCAGTAATTTTCTTTTAATATAAGCATTAATACACTTCAGTGTCTTCAACCATATAGATTTCCAACAAAGTGGAAAATAATTCAATACATCCTTTCGTATTGTTTAGCTTCCTTATACCAAGGATATTTTGCTGGATTTCTGGAATCCATTCATGTATTCATTCATCAGTGTTTTCTGCAAAGTACAATTGGCCTCTCTCTTTTCTTGATATCTTTTATTTATTTATTTATGTATTTATGTATTTATTTATTTATTTTGAGGCGGAGTTTCGCTCGTTACCCAGGCTGGAGTGTAATGGCGCGATCTTGGCTCACCGCAACCTCCGCCTCCCGGGTTCAGGCAATTCTCCTGCATCAGCCTCCTGAGTAGCTGGGATTACAGGCACGCACCACCATGCCCAGCTAATGTTTTTTGTATTTTTAGTAGAGACGGGGTTTCACCATGTTGACCAGGATGGTCTCAATCTCTTGACCTCGTGATCCACCCGCCTCAGCCTCCCAAAGTGCTGGGATTACAGGCTTGAGCCACCGCGCCCGGCGATATCTTTTATTTCTACCTCTCATTACATATTATGCCTTGTGTTTTATTTATATAATTGCACGTGAATTGTATATGCATATATACAAACTTAGATATCGAGGTGCATTTCTATTGTTTTTCCAGGATATAAGCTAGCATATTGTCTAGTGCAAAGTCAACCTTCAAAATCTATGTGTTGGGGGTGGGCATGGTGACTCATGCCTGTAATCCCCAAAATTTGGGAGGCTGAGGTGGGTGGGTCACCTTAGGTCAGGAGTTCGAGACCAGCCTGGCCAACATGGTGAAACCTCGTCTCTACTAAAAATACAAAAAAATTAGGTGGGTGTGGTGGCAGGCTCCTTGTCACTCTAGCTACTTGGGAGGCTGAGGCAGGAGAATTGCTTGAACCTGGAAGGTAGAGGTTGCAGTGAGCTGAGATCACGCCATTATACTCCAGCCTGGGTGACAAGAGTGGTACTCAGTCTCAAACAAACAAACAAAAAAAATGGTGGGTGTGGTGGTTCACGCCTGTAATCTCAGCAGTTTGGGAGGCCAAGGTTGATGGGTCACAAAGTCAGGAGATCAAGACCATCCTGGCCAACATGGTGAAACCCCGTCTCTACTAAAATACAAAAAATTAGCTGGGCATGGTGGTGCACACCTTTAGTCCTAGCTACTGGGACTAGGCTGAGGTAGGAGAATCTCTGGAACCTGGGAGGCAGAGGTTGCAGTGAGCTGAGATTATGCCACTGCACTCCAACCTGGCGACAGAGCAAGACTCTGTCTCAAAAAAACAAAAACAAAAACAAAAAACAAAAAACAAAAAACCACCAGGCACGATAGCTCATGCCTGTAATCCTAGCATTTTGAGAGGCTGAGGTGGGTGGATCACAAGGTCAGGAGTTTGAGATCAACCTGGCCAACATGGTGAAACACTGTCTCTACTAAAGATACAATAAATTAGCCTGGTGTTGTGGCGAGCGCCTGTAATCCCAGCTACTCGGGAGGCTGAGGCAGGAGAATCGCTTGAACCCAGGAGGTAGAGATTGCAGTGAGCCGAGATCGCACCACTGCACTCCAGACTGGGCCACGGGGGAGACTCCGCCTCAACAACAACAACAACAAGAAAATCTATGTGTTGAGTAAATGGTTGGCTCCAGCTACAGTGGGTGCCGAGCACCTTTGAGAGAGCCTTTTCCTCCCGCCTCTCAGGTGTGTGTCATGGTCCTGGTGGTGACCAGGATTCTCACTGCTGTAGCCACCTGCACTCCATCTGTTTTAGGCAAGTAACTCACGTCCAGGACTTTTCCTGTCCCTCTGTCTCTGTCCCTCTTATTCTATCTGTTGCTCTCGATCTCCTTTACCAAAATTAGGCAAGCCTGGGCCGCCTCCACTCCTCAGGTGTCTTTTCCCTGGTTACTCTAGAAGGCTGGAAAGCTTAATACAACCCACAGACACTCACGTGTAGGCATGAAGTTCAGGCCCCTCAGACTGGTTAGAAGGAAGCTTCCCTTGTATTCCTTATACCAATAGTTTTCTTTTCTCTTCAAAGACATCGTCTCGCTCTGTCACCCAGCTGGAGTGCAGTGGCACAATCTCACCTCACAGCAGCCTCTGCCTCCTGGGCTTAAATGATCCTCCCACTTCACCCTCCGAAGTGGCTGGAACCACAGGTATGTGCCACCATGCTCTGCTAATTTTGTAATTTTTTTGTAGAGACAAGGTCTCACTATATTTCCCAGACTGGTCTTAAATTCCTGAGCTAAAACTATCCTCTTGCCTTGGCCTCCCAAAGTGGGAGGGATTATAGGCATGAGCCACCGCTACCGGCCACACCAATGGTTTTCAATCCTCATAGAATTACTAGTGGAGGCCAGGCGCGGTGGCTCAAGCCTGTAATCCCAGCACTTTGGGAGGCCGAGGGGGGTGGATCACGAGGTCAACAGATCGAGACCATCCTGGTCAACATGGTGAAACCCCCGTCTCTACTAAAAATACAAAAAAATTACCTGGGCATGGCAGCGCGTGCCTGTAATCCCAGCTACTCAGGCGGCTGAGGCAGGAGAATTGCTTGAACCTGAGAGGATGCAGTGAACCAAGATTGTACCACTGCACTCCAGCCTGAGTGACAGAGTAAGACTGGCAAAAAAAAAAAAAAAAAAAGGCCGGGCGCGGTGGCTCAAGCCTGTAATCCCAGCACTTTGGGAGGCCGAGGCGGGTGGATCACAAGGTCAAGAGATCGAGACCAGCCTGGTCAACATGGTGAAACCCCGTCTCTACTAAAAATACAAAAAATTAGCTGGGCATCGTGGCGCATGCCTGTAATCTCAGCTACTCAGGAGGCTGAGGCAGGAGAATTGCCTGAACCCAGGAGGCGGAGGTTGCGGTGAGCCGAGATCGTGCCATTGCACTCCAGCCTGGGTAACAAGAGTGAAACTCCGTCTCAAAAAAAAAAAAAAAAAAAAAAAAATTCAGATGCCTGGGTGATTCTCCAGGTGCTCTGATTCACTTGCTCTAGGGAAAGACCCGGGCATCTGTATTTTTTCTTTTCTTTCTTTCCTTCCTTCCTTCCTTTTTTTTTTTTTTTTTTTTTTTTTTGGCAATGGAGTCTCTCTCTGTCGCCCAGGCTGGAGTGCAGTTGCGCAATCTCAGCCCAACTGCAACTCCACCTCCCAGGTTCAATCAATTCTCCTGCCTCAATTTCCCAAGTAGCTGGAATTAAAGATGCGGGCTGCCATGCGCAGCTAATATTTTTGTATTTTTAGTAGAGACAGGGTCTCGCCATGTTGGCCAGTCTGGTCTCGAACTCCTGACCTCAGGTGATCCACCTGCCTTGGCCTCCCAAAGTGCTGGGATTACAGGTGTGAGCCACTGCACCTGGCCAGTATTTTTACAGGCTCCCCAGGGGACCTTTTTTTTTTTTTTGTCTTTTTGTTTTTTTCCTTTTTGTGGAGAATGGGATCTTGCTATATTGCCCAGGCAGGTCTTGAACTGCGGGGCTCAAGCTATCCTCCTGCCTCTGCCTCCCTAAGAGCTGGGATTACAGGCATGAGCCACAGCACCTGGCTCCCCAGGAGATCTTAATGTGCAGCCAGGGTTGAGAGGCACCACCCTGATTCATGCCCTACAGGCGTCCAGTCTCGCCATCTACCCACACCAGCCTCACAGACACCCTGCTGCTGCCCCATTTTGGTTTTGTTGTTGTCGTTGTATTGTCTTTGACACAGAGTATTGCTCTGTCACCCAGGCTGGACTGCAATGGTGCAATCTCAGTCACTGCAACCTCTGCCTCCCAGGTTCAAGCGATTCTCCTGCCTCAGCCTCCAGAGTAGCTGGGACTACAGGCACCGCCATACCTGGCTAATTTTTGTATTTTTAGCAGAGATGGGGTCTCACCATGCTGGCCAGCCTGGCCTTGAACTCGTGACATCAGGTGATCCACCTGCCTTGGTTTCCCAAAGTGTTGGGATTACAGGCGTGAGCCACCGTGCTCAGCCACCCTGTTTTTGACTGGGTGAAAATGCCGTGACTGCCGGGTGCTGTGGCTCATGCCTGTAATCCCAACACAAAGAGGCTGAGGTAGGCAGATCATGAGGTCAGGAGTTTGAAACCATCTTGGCCAACATAGTGAAACCCAATCTCTACTTAAAATACAAAAATTAGCTGGGCATGGCAGCATGTGCCTGTAATCCCAGCTACTCAGGAGGCTGAGGCAGGAGAATCGCTTGAACCCAGGAGGCAGAGGCTGCAGTGAGCTGAGACCGAGCCACTGCACTCCAGCCTGGTGACACAGTGAGGCTGTCTCCAAAAAAAAAAAAAAAAGAAAGAAAGAAAATGCTGCGACTAACAAAGGATGAGCTGCAGCCATGCACTGCACACTGGATGTATACAATTTCGCTTTATATTTTTAATACAGAAAATTTGAGACATACACAAAAGAAGAGCCAATGGTACAGTGAACCCAATGTACCTATCACTGGCCTCAATAGTTATCAACGTTCTGAGCTGATCCCATTTATCACCCGCAACTGTGTTGCCGTTAGCATATTTATTTGTTTATTTATTTGGAGACAGGGTCTTCTTCTGTGGCCCAGGCCGGAATGCGTCGTGTCGTCTCAGCTCACTGCAGCCTCCACCTCCCCAGCCTCCCATCTCAGCCTCTGGAGTAGCTGGGACTACAGGCACACACCAGCATAACCAGCTTTTTTTTTTTTTTTTTTTGTATTTTTCAGATACAGGGTATTGCCATGTTGCTCAGGCTGGTTTCAAACTCCTGGGCTCAAGTGATCCTCCTGCTTCAGCCTCCCAAAGCACTGAGATTACAGATACGCGCCACTGTGCCCCACCCCAGCATGTTTCAATGTAAATCTCAGACATCCTAGGAATTCACCTGTGAATACTTCAGCATAAATACCTAATTGTAAACATGGCTAGAAATGGAACTATGCTCATATTTCTGTCTGAGATGAACGTATACATTCCGTCCATTGCAGAATTTCCCCACTTCAGCACTGTTGGCACATTGGGCTGGATAATGCTTCACGGTCGGAGCTATCCTGGGCCTTGCAGGGTGTTTACCAGTGTTCCTGGCCTCTACTCACTAAATGGCAGTCACTTCCTCTCAGTTGTGACAACCAAAAATGTCTCCAGACATTGCCAAATGTCCCCTGGAAGTCGAGAACGACTGGTGTATTAGATATCTTATGAGGCAAAAAATGATTCTCCATTATATATAGTAGGGTGTTTTCTCTCACCCTTTTCTCTTCTACCTGAAAAAAAGGATATTGAAATCAGCTTTGCAAATAAGCAATGATCAATTGACAAACTCACTTCCTCAGAAGACTACAGAGAAAAATGCAAACAAATGAATGAATGGAAAGCAGGTTGGGGCATGGTGGCTCACACCTGTAACCCCACACTTTGGGAGGCTGAGGCAGGAGGATCACTCGAGCTAAGGAGTTACAGACCAGCCTGGGCAATATGGCAAAACCCTGCCTCTATGAAAAACATGTAGAATTAGCTAGACGTGGTGACATGCACTAGTAGACCGAGCTACTCGGGAGGCTTAGGTGGGAGATGCTTGTGCCCAGGAGTTCAAGGCTGCAGTGAGCTGCACTCCAGCCTGGGTGGCAGAGTGAGACCCTTTCTCAAAAACTAAAAAGAAAGAAAAGAAGTAAATGATAAGAGACTGTGGCTGGGTGTGGTGGCTCACGCCTGCAACCCCAGTACTTTGGGAGGCCAAGGTGGGCGGATCATTTGAGGTCAGCAGTTTGAGACCAGCCTGACCAACATGGTAAAACAACATCTGTACTAAATACAAAAATTAGCCTGGCGTGGTGGCACGCGCCTGTAATCTCAGCTACTTGGGAGGCTGAGGCAGGAGAATCACTTGAACTCAGGAGGCGGGAGTTGCAGTGAGCCGAGATTGTGCCATTGCACCCCATCCTATGTGAGAAAGTGACTCCCTCTCAAAAAAAAAGAAAAGAAAAGAAAGAGAGACGTTATGGGGAAGGGATAGCTTAATACTCACCATATGAGTGAATCCTAAATTCCAAAAAACCTGGAATTTAGGGATTCCAAATTTTACATATTTAAGCACTTTGTTTTTTCTTTCTCTTTCTTTTACTTCCTTTTTTCCTAAGCACATCTTTTCCATTCTGGCAGAGCCAGGCGCTTGTGCCTCCAGTTCCTCTACCGCAGCATCTGGAAAAATAAGCCGCTTCTCCAGACCAGGGTTTCGGAAATGTTCGAGTAAATTTCCTCCAGAACCCAAAGGGTTACAGCATTTCCGGTGCTGCAGGGAACAGAGGGTGGGGTGGGAGAGTGGGGCTTCACCTAATTGGGAATCAATTCTGTAAGAAGAGTTAAGTCCCCTAGTTAATCAGAGTGAGCCGCCTCATCTTGGAACTCACTGCTTTCAGTTGCCTGGAAACACACCCTTTTTCTTGCGTCTGTCTAAATGGACTGGCTCCGTCAGATTTAGAATTCACTTCTGAACTGGGGAAGGTTTATCACCAAGTCCCTCCAATAGGTATCGACAATTCTCTGTCCTGGGGACTTAAAATAAATACTGTGTGTTGTGAAGGCAAAGATCAGAGAGAGGAAGATTGGGGAGTTCTCTGCTTCTGGGAAAAAGGATCCTCTAGAAGGGTTTTAGGACTGGGTTCCGGTTGATTAACGGCGTATTTGTTTCTTAAATATTAGACTCTATTTACCCATGTCAAAGCGTCAAGAATACCTGCAGAGTTCCGGGATGAAAGTGCTGGCCAGTTTCCCCGTGCAAGCCACCATTCACTTCTACAACGATGAAGCCACCGAGTCCGCTTCGGAAGCTGAAGAGTCAGAGGAGGGACCCCCGCCCCTCCACCTGCCGCCCCAGGAGGCGGGGGGTCTGCAGGAAAAAGGCCCAGGAGGGAAGGACGGGGACCAGGACATCAACTGAGGGCCGCGATCCTCAGGAGGGGGTGGCCCCTGGAGGGGAGGGGCCGTGAGGGCTCCTTATCCAGATGAATCTGCCTGTGTCTCCTGGGCCCTGCTGGGGCACCTGTCTCCCCACATTCTCTTGGGGACACCCGAGCCAGGACACCGCGAATCCCTGCTGAGTGTACAGAGGCTGGGGGCTTCTCGGACGGCCCCTGGCCCCGCACACCACTCACGGCAGGAAATCAGCTTTTACTTTTCTTTCTCCTGGCGATTCGTTTTTGGTGCACTCATGCATACCTTTGAGAAAGGATTCTGGACAAAGAGAAGGTCTGTGTCGACAAGAGTTGTTATCTGGTAGAGCCAACTTTCCAAGCTCCTTCGGCATTGTCACTGGCTGACCAGGTGACAGTTCTCCTGAGTCACCCCCTCCACCTCCTACTGAACCTGAGACTCTCCTTATTAGCTAATTTCTGCTTTGTAAACATGATTTCCATATTAAACCCCAATGTTAATCTATCGTCTAAGGACAGATGCGGTTGCTTAGTAGCATTTAAAAAATACAGGTTTGGTTTGGCTTTGTGACGGAGTTTTGCTCTTGTCACCCAGGCTGGAGTGCAGAGGTCAAGTCTTGGCCCACTGCAACTTCGGCGTCCCAGGTTCAAGCCATGCTCCTGCGCCAGCCTCCCAAATAGCTGTGACTATGGGCATGGGCCACTATGCCTGGCTAATTTTTTGTATTTTTAGAGATTCGGTTTCACCATGTTGGTCAGGCTGGTTTTGAACTCCTGACCTCAGATGATCCACCTGCCTCAGCCTCCGAAAATGCTGGGATTACAGGCATGAGCCACCAAGCCTGCCCCCCCGCCAAAAAAAAAAAAAAAAAGTATTTATTAAAAAATTTTTTCTTAACTCAATAATTCCCACAAGAGCAACAAAAATATAAGGATTTTTAGGAGACAGTTAGATAAAAAAGTATGTGATGACTGTGTAAGGCTGTGTGTGTGAATTTATACTGAGTAGAACCTTCACTCTTAGTTGGTGACTGTTTGGGGCATGTTATTTTAATAGATTGACACCTTTTAATTAAAATATCTAATGTAAAATTATTTGGGTTTTTAATATTTTGATTATCAAATGTGTACTCCTGAAAGCTTTTTACTCACTTAGCTTACATGTGGTGTCTTCCCATATGTAGTATATTATATCAATTTCTACCTGAAATAAATATTTTGAAAGCATGTTTGATAATCACTTTTTTTTAAAGAATTAGTTTCTGCTTTAAAGTTTTTTTTGTTTTTCATGGTTTTTAAAAATAATGCTTTAAAAATTATAAGCTATTTCTGTTTTATTTTAGCATTCTATTTTATTTTTTTAAATTTTAGACGCAGGGTCTTGCTCTGTCCCTGGCTGGAGTGTAGTGGCTCAGTAATACCTCACCGCAGCCTTGAACTCCTGGGCTCAAGGAATCCTCCCACCTCAGCCTTGGTAGTAGCTAGGACTACAGGTGTGTGCTACCACGCCCAGTGAATTTTTTTTTTTTAAAGACAGAGTTTTGTTCTTATTGCCCAGGCTGGAGTGCAATTGCACAGTCTCAGCTCACTGCAACCTCTGCTCACAGGTTCAAGCGATTCTCCTGCCTTGTCCTCCCGAGTAGCTGGGATTACAGGCACCTGCCATCACTCCCGGGTAATTTCGTATTTTTAGTAGAGATAGATGGGGTTTCACCACGTTGGCCAGGGTGGTCTTGAACTCCTGACCTCAGGTCATCTGTCCACCTATGCCTGCTGGGATTACAGACATGAGCCACCATGCCTGGCCGCCCAGTGAATTAAAAAAAATTTTTTTGTAGAGACAGGTTCTTGATACATTGCCAAGGATACCCTTAAACTCCTGGCCTCAAGCGATCCTCTTACCTAGGCCTCCAAGGCACTGGAATTATAGGAATGCGCCACCACACTAGGCCCAATATTTTAAAAAGTAGGAGTAACGAATGGAAGTACTTTTAGCAATCCAAACACTATAGAAAGTTATACATTGCAAACTAAAAGTCACATTCTCTTCTCCCTCTCCTTTGTCTAAAGGTAACAAACATCAATTGTTTTTTATTGCTTTAGTCTTTTTTAAAAAATTCCCTTTTTTGTGTTTTTCTTTTCTGTGCCTCTTTTCTTCTTTTAAAATGTTTGCTTTTTTGTTTTTTGAACAAATTTGGCTACTTTTTCTTTTAAAAATTAAAACTTTTATTTTATTTATTTATTTTTTTTACTTGTTTAAAGTACATCTTTTCAGACTTAAAAACAAACCTGGGAAAATTTCAGATGACCTCGAATTTTGCTGGGTTTTTGCGGAAAAATACTAGAAACCTATCTTTACCCCTTCGTGAGATGCTTGAGATAAAAACTAAATAATCACATCGGGCTTTGTTTAGTTTTCTTGGTAAACCAGTTTTATTGACAAATAAAGCCTAGTCCAATCATGACTTTATCCTGAAGAAACCAAACGTAGTCCAAATTCTGATGGCACCAACCTCCACAGTTTAAAATATGCTGCATGAGGCGGGGCGCTGTGGCTCACGCCTGTAATCCCAGCACTTTGGGAGGCTGAGGCAGGCAGATTACAAGGTCAATAGATCAAGATCATCCTGGCCAACATGGTGAAACCTCATCTCTACTAAAAAATACAAAAATTAGCTGGGTGTGGTGGCACCCGCCTGTAGTCTCAGCTACTCAGGAGGCTGAGGCAGGAGAATTGCTTGAACCCGTGAGGAAGAGGTTGTAGTGAGCCGAGATTGTGCCACTGCACTCCAGCCTGGCACCTGGTGACAGAGCAAGACTGTCTCAAAAAAAAACAAACAAAAATAAATAAATAAATAAATAAAATATGCTGCATGTACCAGGCGAGGTGGTTCATGCCTGTAATCCCAGCACTTTGGGAGGCCAAGGCAGGAGGATCACTTGAGTCCAGGAGGTCGAGACCTGCCTGGGCCACATGGCGAAACCCTGTCTCTACTAAAAATACAAAAAAATTGCCAGGCTGGAGACATGTGCCAGTAGTCTCAGCTACTTGGGAGGCTGAGGTGAGAGGATCACCTGAGCCTGGGGCAGCTGAGGATGCGGTGGGCTGAAATGGCATCACTACACTTCAATCTGGGTGACAGAGAGAGATCCTGTCTCAAAAAAATTAATTAATTAATATATGTTGTATGATAGTTTTACATTACATTAATTTTTTTTTTTTTTTTTTTTTTTTTTTTTTAGACGGAGTTTCGCTCTTGTTACCCAGGCTGGAGTGCAATGGCGTGATCTCGGCTCACCGCAACCTCCGCCTCCTGGGTTCAGGCAATTCTCCTGCCTCAGCCTCCTGAGGAGCTGGGATTACAGGCACACGCCACCATGCCCAGCTGATTTTTTGTATTTTTAGTAGAGACGGGCTTTCACCATGTCGACCAGGATGGTCTCGAACTCTCGACCTTGTGATCCACCCGCCTCGGCCTCCCAAAGTGCTGGGATTACAGGCTTGAGCCACCGCGCCCGGCTACATTACATTAATTCTAAATTACTTAGAACCTGGCCAGCTTAGTGCAAATACAAAACAAGGCGTCTTAGCTGTGGCTGGCAATGGAATCACATACTGTGGGTCAGACATTTTGATACCAAGGATACGGTGAGCTTGGGGGCCCCTTAGCTCTCTGGTTGTTGCAGTTACATGAATTAAAGTCTCAAATCTAAGAGCTCCAGGCTTCTGATCATGTATCCTTCTGATGTATAAAATGTAGCCGCTCACAGTAGCTCATGCCTGTAATCATAGCACTTTGGGAGGCTGAGGCAGGAAGATCACTTGAGCCCAGGAGTTTGAGATTACACTGAGCAGCAGAGGGAGAGCCTCATCTCAACAAAAAATTAAAAAGCTAGCTAGGTGCAGTGGTGCGTGGCTATAGTCCCAGCAATTCAGGAGGCTGAGGTGGGAGATGCTTGAACCTAGCAGTTCAAGGTTGCAGTGAACCATGATCACACCACTGCACTCCAGCCTGGGCAACAGAGTGAGACTCTGTCTCAAAAAAATAAAACATTTAAAATGTGTGCCTGCCCCTAATACATATTCACTTATAAATTACATGTTACATCGAGCCATTTGAAATTGCTGATGTTTTATTGTTTTTAACCTACAAAAAGGCAATTTCTTACCGTTCAACCAACTGTATGAAAGATATGTGATCTGTGCATATTTAACACACAAATAAACAAATCATATGTCTTAAAGGAACATCCAGGTCGGGCATGGTGGTTTACCTGTAATCCCAGCACTTTGGGAGGCCGAGGCAGGAGGATCACTTGGGACCAGCCTGTGCAATATATGAAGAGCACGTCTCTACTAAAAAAAAAAAAAAACAGCAAAGAAACAATGTAATTACTTTTTTAAACTTGTATTTTAAGTTCAGAGGTACATGTGCAGGTTTGTTATATATGTAAACTCATGTCATGGGGTTTTGTTTTGTTTTTTTTTTTTTGAGATGGAGTTTCACTCTTGTTGCCCAGGCTGGACAATGCAATGGCTCGGCTCACCGCAACCTCTGCCTTCTGGGTTCAAGTGATTCTCCAGCCTCAGCCTCCCCAGTAGTTGGGATTACAGGCATGCACCACCACACCCGGCTAAGTTTGTGTTTTTAACAGAGACGAGGTTTCTCCTTGTTGGTCAGGCTGGTCTCAAACTCCCGATCTCAGGTGATCTGCCTGCCCCAGCCTCCCAAAGTTCTGGTATTACAAGCGTGAGCCACCGTGCCTGGCTGTTATGGGGTCTTTTTACACAGATTATTTCATCACCCAGGTGTTAAGCCGAGAACCCATTTGTTATTTTTCCTGATCCTCGCCTTCCTCCCACCTGCTCCCTCCCACGGGCCCCAGTGTGTGATGTTCCCCTCTATGTGTCCGTGTGTTCTCATCATTTAGCTCCCACTTATAAGTGACATGTATGTCTTCTTTATAATTTTTATTTTAGGTTTGGGGTATATGTGAAGTTTTGTTA